CCAGCTCCCTGCTCTTTCACCTGGGAGAGCAGAGGAAGATGGCCCAAGTCCTTGGACCCCTGAACCCACATGGGAGATCTGGATGAGCTCCTGGCTCCAGGCTCCAGCCAGGCCCAGCCCTGGTCATTGCGGCCATTTTGAGAGTGAACCACTGGATTGAAGTGGTTCACTTCTGTATCTCCCTCTCTCTCTGTAATTCTGACTTTCAAATAAATGACTAGCCCTTTTTTAAAGAAGATTTATTTTACTGACTTGAAAGACAGAGTTATAGAAAGAGGTAGGGCCAGAGAAAGAGGTCTTCCATCTGCTGGTTCACTTCTCAAGTGACTGAAACGGCCCATAGTTGAGCTGATCCAAAGCCAGGAGCCAGGTTCTTCTTCCAAGTCTCCCATGCAGGTGCAGGGGTCCAAGGACTTGGGCCATCTTCTACTGCTTTCCCAGACCATAGCAGAGAGCTGGATTGGAAGTGGAGCAGCCGGGACTCGAACCAGCACCCACATGGGATACTGGCACTAGAGGTCAGGGCTTTAACCCACTGCACAACAGGGCCAGCCCCTAAATGGTCTTTTTTTTTTTTTTTTAAAGAAGTGCAATGATATTATAACAAAGAAACACTACATCTGAGCATCTAGATCAAATGTGTAGGTCTCTCTGGAGCAGGACAGTGTAGCAACACAGAGCTTTGCCAGATTATTGATTATTCAGGGACATTATAACCTCCCGCATTATCAAAGCTGCAATGGGTGATGGTTGGGATGGCTGGTTCTAAAGAAAATTTCTGATAACTGGAGAAATTTGAATATTGATTTACTGTTTGGAGTGATGACACTTTGTTTACATGTCAAAGTCAGAGCATTTTAGCTGAAAGCTAACCCTTACGGCAGAACATGCATGAGCTCCTTTGGTTAATTCTCATTTGTATTCTATTGTGTTGTATGCATTATCAATTGTGTGTTTTGCTATAAAGTTTTCTGGGTGGTAGAACTATGGTATTCTTACTATTCTAAATACTTCTCTGGGTGCTTCACATTTTGACAATGCACACAAACTGGTGTAGGAGTAATAAAATGGCATTTTCAGTTCCTTTTACCTGAAAATGAAGACCAACCTTAGATGAACACTCTGAATGCAAATGACAAGGATAGAAGCATTGTTCCTAATGACTTTGTGCCTCATATTCATTGTCCTCTTCCATGCCATGTGGATTGAACTGCATATATGGTTAATTTTTCAGTGCAAAATGTTATTGCCAGTGCTATGTTTACTATGTCAATAAATGCATGCTATAAATGATAGCCTCTCTCAGTCCATGACCATTTAAGGCAAACAGGTCTTTAATGACCCAATTGCATGAGTGATACTCTGATTGTCTCGTACTTGGCTGTTGGCACCTTGTACAGATGCCCTTTTTCTGGTTTGGATTTGGCTGCTCTGAGAACCAATGAGTTAAAACTGGTCTGCTATGAACTCACCCATTATTTTCCTCTGAAACTTCAGAGAGGATGCAGGGTCCAGTAGAAGGTTACTCTTTCTGAGAGGTCTTTCAGAATTGGGAAAGACATTGCAGGTGTTAGGTTAGGGGATATCTGTCCAGAACATTTAGTTGCTCTCAAATGGGTGATCAGTGGAGACAACACAGTGTTCTTGGGACTGGACAGAAAGAATGTCACACTTTGTTCCAATCAGAGAATAGATGCACATGAAGAAAACAGATAAAGGTAAAAATGGACCAGTATATAGACTTGTCTTCAAGTCCCTCAGGGGATCTGAAGTGGCTCAGAGCCAAAAAAAAAAAAAAAAAAAAGAAAGAAAAGAAAAGAAAGAAAGAAAATCTAATCCTAGATGGTTCTGTTACAGTAACAAGAATACCTGATTTGGACTCACAATTAAGGTAGCAAAGTTCAGTTAATGATCAATTAAGGCAACTGTGTGTCACTGATTATATAATCTCCACCCTTTTTCTGCCTGCAATAAACCCTGATTTTCATTGTGACTCCATCTTCTATTTCTAAAAGCCAATCATCTGTGAGAACAGGCATTTAGCCTAATGGGTAAAACACCTGCATTCCACATAAGAATACCTGGATTGCATTCCAGGCCCCAGCTTCTGACTCCAGAATCCCATCTGGAGAGCAGCACTGATAGTTCAAGTACTTGGGTTCCCACCTCCCATGAAGAAGACATGACTTCCCATCTCCCAGCTCAGGCCCTGGTCCAGTCCAGGCCTTTGCAGGCATTCGAGGAATGAATAAGCAGATAGGAACTCTGTCTCTTTCTCTGCCTCTCAATAAAAGCAATTTTTAATAGACTACCTTCAAGGAACAATACATTTCTTTTCTTTTCTTTTTTTTTTTTGACAGGCAGAGTGGACAGTGAGAGAGAGAGACAGAGAGAAAGGTCTTCCTTTTGCCGTTGGTTCACCCTCCAATAGCCGCCGTGGCTGGCGCGCTGCGGCCAGTGCACCGCGCTGATCCGATGGCAGGAGCCAGGTACTTATCCTGGTCTCCCATGGGGTGCAGGGCCCAAGGACTTGGGCCATCCTCCACTGCACCCCCTGGCCACAGCAGAGAGCTGGCCTGGAAGAGGGGCAACCGGGACAGAATCCGGTGCCCCGACCAGGACTAGAAACCGGTGTGCCGGTGCCTCAAGGCAGAGGATTAGCCTAGTGAGCCGTGGCGCTGGCCTAGGGACAATACATTTCTATCATGGAATGTTCCCATTAGACTCTGCCTATATTTGCAGGAGTCCCTTTTGTACTCATGTCGACTGTAGCTGCCTCTGGCTGCAATAAGTATGATAATTTTCTTCCTACTTATGTAAAAAGTTGCTTTTTTAATTTGAGAGGCAGAGGGGGACAGATCATCCAATTGCTGGTTCATTCCTCAAAGCCCACAATGACCACGCTGAAGTCAAGAAAAGAAACTCTGAGGCCAAGTGCTGTTTAGGACATCTGCCATTCTATGAGTCTGCTGTGTATCTTGCTTCCCATGTTGGATCGTTCTCTCCCTTTTTTATTCTATCAGTTAGTATTTGCAGACACTAGTCTTGTTTATGTGATCCCTTTGGCTCCTAGTCCTTTCATTATGATCAATTGTGAACAGAAATTGATCACTTGGACTAGTGAGATGGCATTGGTACATGCCACCTTGATGGGATTGAATTGGAGTCCCCTGGCATGTTTCTAACTCTACCATTTGGGGCAAGTCAGCTTGAGCATGTCCCGAATTGCACATCTCTTCTGTCTCTTATTCCCACTCTTATATTTAACAGCAATCACTTTTCAGTTAAGTTTCAACACTTAAGAATAACTGTGTATTGACTATAGTATTCAACCAAAAGTATTAAGTAGAACAAATAAACAAAAATACTAAGAGGGAAAACGTATTATGTTGTTCATCAACAGTCAGGGCAAGGGCTGATCAAGTCACCGTTTCTCATAGTGTTCCTTTCACTTTAACAGGTTTCCTTTTTGGTGCTCAGTTAGTTGTCACCAATCAGGGAGAACATATGATATTTGTCCCTTTGGGACTGGCTTATTTCACTCAGCATAATGTTTTCCAAATTCCTAACAGGGATCACTTTTCAGTTAAAATTTAAACACCTAAGAATAATTGTGTGTTAATTACAGAGTTCAACCAATAGTACTAGAACAAAAAAAATACTAAAATGGATAAAGTATTACATTGTACATCAACAGTCAGGACAAGAGCTGATCAAGTCACTGTTTCTCATAGTGTCCATTTCACTTCAACAGGTTTCCCCTTTGGTGCTCAGTTAGTTGTCGCCAATCAGGGAGAACATATGATATTTGTCCCTTTGGGACTGGCTTAATTCTCTCAGCATGATGTTTTCCAGATTCCTCCATCTTGTTGCAAATGACCTGGTTTCATTGTTTTTGACTGCTGTATAATATTCTATAGAGCACATGTCCCATAAAGCAGATCCGGTTGAAAAGCCCATGAGAGTATTTCAGGCATGGAGAGCCAAGACACTCTGGAAAAAAATGACCTTAATGAAAGATCTCCGTGAGTGAGATCCCAATGTAAAGAACGGGTCATCAAAGAAGGAGGTACCTTTCTCTGAAGGGAGGAGAGAACTTCCACCTTGACTACGACCTTGTCTAAATATGATCAGAGTTGGTGAACTAAAAAGACTTCCATAGCCTTGGCAAGTCATGACAAGAGCCTAGGGTGATTACTGAGGCTATAAACAAGAGTGTGAATTTGTTAAGTCAACAACAGGAGTCACTGTGCACTTACTCCTCATGCAGGATCTTTGTCCTTAGTGTGCTGTACATTGAGATTTAATGCTATAACTAATATGCAAACAGTATTTTTCACTTTGTGTTTCTGTGTGGGTGCAAACTGTTGAAATCTTTACTTAATATATGCTAAACTGATCTTCTGTATATAAAGAGAATTGAAAATGAATCTTGATGTGAATGGAAGGGGAGAGGGAGCGGGAAAGGGGAGGGTTGCGGGTGGGAGGGAAGTTATGGAGGGGAATTTATATTCATTAAATAAAATTTAAAAAAGAAAAGAAACTCAGCCCAATCCTCCCACATGGATAGCAGGAAACCAACTACCTGAGACATCATCTGCTGCCTCACATGCAGCAAAGAGTTGGAATCAAGAGTGGAGTGGGAATAGGACCCAGATATTCCAATAGAGCATATAATCCATCAGTGTTTAACCACTAGGCCCAATACATACTCTCAAAAGAGAACTATTCTCAAGCATGAAGCATTTCACATGTCTAGGATGCCTCTCCCTACCACATGTCAAGATTTAGGTATTTAGTGAATGTACTGCCCATAAAAATGTAAGGATGACAAGACTGTGTTTAGATTTCCGATAGATTTGGGAACCTAAAACAAAGAAGACTAAGAAAAATGAGAGATGAATAGGTCATGGAGAAGGAAAGTCACTATTGGCAGAGAAGATTGACTTAGATTGGTATCTGCCATCCGCCTACTCTGTTCTTACTGGTGAACATCCTTGGTTGAGTGCATTTTAGAGTGGCTGAAGGTCGAATTGAGCAAGCAGTGTTTTCTGAGCCATCAGCTCACGTGCACCTTTGTCTCTCACAGATTCTACTTTGCAATCTGCTAAGACAAGATGGAAAAACTAATGCATCTGAATCTCTTTCTCCTCGGCATAGAAATTGGTAACTTGTTGGAAAAGGGTTGATGGGGTGGACCTTATCAAACTATAATCGGCCCTGCCATATATTTAAGCAGATCTTATCTTTTGACACTTTCTGATAGTGTGAGCTTCTATGGGCATGATCTGAGAAATGATGGCTGGGCTTCAGAATTGGTCAGCTGGCTTCATCTACCTTTAGTTCTAGGTGGGAACCAGTTCTGACTTCCACGATTTATACCCACTAACCTATGGTTTATCTGTGGACGTTATGATACAGGGGGACTCTCTGTCATCCTGAGGACTTCCTGCCCTGGAAAAGCTCAGCCACTTCAGCCTGAGTTCGGAATACCCAGCTCTGTGTTCTCTTTAATGTTACTCACTGAACTAGATAAGAAATTGCCATGGGAGGTAGGGTGGACTATATGGTGACAGATCAATGTCAATGTGCCCTTGTCTAATGGAAGGAGGAAGAGTGGAGTAAGATCATCTCCCTGTTCCATCCTGCTCTGTATGTGATTCTGGATGCCTGCATACATGTAATAAAACCCATGGGCAAAAGGTGGACATCATTCCCAGACAGTGCAGGTGAGCTCGGCTCTCTTTGGGATGTGACAGTGTTGTTTCCTTTGCTCAGTACAGTCTACTTTCTGCAGCCTGTGCTCTTCAGTGTAGACTTTGCATTGACTACTACAATGGCGTGTGTGAAAAGAAGGAGACAACATGCATTGCCAAGGATGGTGCCAGCTGTAAGAGTTATAGAGAATCTTCTGAAGCCAACTGTAAGTGTCTCAAGGCCTCCAAGGTTCTGGTGAGGGAATGATAGCTTTATTTCCTTATCCTCCAGGGCTCAAATCATCTTCTAAGATGTCATGTTTGGACACAATGATTTTGTGGAGAGTAAGTGAGGTTCTGAGCCTGGAGGTGAGATCATCCTGACAGGAATTTTCTATTTGTGCCTAGGATAAAAGGGGACTGATTGGACCTGTGGTCACTCACTACAGTTCTGATTCCTTCATCAGTGTCCCAGGAACCCCAAATCCACATCCAAAGGATCCTAACTCTTAGAATCTTTAAATATGCTATTTTCCCACTATCCTGGTTGCATCTGCCCCTGCTTGTCTATTATTGACCTGGCTTCTATCTCACCTGAGAGTCACCTGCCCAGGAAACCTTTGACCCTCCAGAATGTCCACTTGCACCTCCTCAGCATTTGCACTGCATCCCCGTCATGGCCATCCCACAGCATCTATCCCAGTGTCTACTAATTCCCCGTTATAGCTGCAATTCTAGACTCATTATAATAGGGTCTGATTGCTCAGCATCTACTGGCCCCTACTCTAAGAACAGAATGTAATAGGTCTTCGACAAGGGTCTTCAGCCTGTCTGGCTGAGAGGGAAGTCTCCTGGGCACTGCCCACCTCTAGAACCACATCTTAAGGGCTGGCATTGTGATGTAGCAGGTTAAGGTGCCACCTGCAATACCTGCATTCCATATGGGTGCCGGTTCAAGTCCCGGCTGCTCCACCTTTTTTTTTTTTTGACAGGCAGAGTGGACAGTGAGAGAGAGAGACAGAGAAAGGTCCTCCTTTGCCGTTGGTTCACCCTCCAATGGCCGCCACGGCCGGCGCGCTGTGGCCAGTGCACCGCGCTGATCCGATGGCAGGAGCCAGGTGTTTATCCTGGTCTCCCATGGGGTGCAGGGCCCAAGGACTTGGGCCATCCTCCACTGCACCCCCTGGCCACAGCAGAGAGCTGGCCTGGAAGAGGGGCAACCAGGACAGAATCCGGCGCCCCGACCGGGACTAGAACCTGGTGTGCTGGCGCCGCAAGGTGGAGGATTAGCCTAGTGAGCTGCGGCGCCGGCCAGGCTGCTCCACTTTCAATCCAGCTCCCTGCTAATGTATCCAGGAAAGCAGCAGAAGATGCCCCAAGCATTTGGGCCTCTGTACCCCCATGAGAGACAGAGACGAATTTCCTGGCTCCTCACTTCAGCCATTGTGGTCATTTTTGAGCCAGAAGATGGAATATCTCTTTGTGTCTCCTTCTCTCACTGTAACTCTTTCAAATAAACAGATAAATCTTCATTTAAAAAATTCTGCCTTTAAATAAACAAATGAACCATATCTTGTCACAAATGCATCACTGCCCAGCATCAGAGAATCCAGGGAGAAAGAAACATGCCAGTGCTGCTCCATAGGGGTGCTGGCAGGACTATACATGAGATTTACTTGTGTGGAAGTCTCCTGTCCCTTGCAATGTCTTCACCCTACCCTAGAATAATTTTATGTTATAAATGTCTCTCAAAATAATGTTTTTCTTTTGTTTTCTTCCACAGTATCATTCCCAACACGTGGATATAGTGAATGTTCCCATGATTGCTATCCCTACTATGGAGTTTGGCAGGGTTTAACAATACTGGTATTTTGCTGTGATAGCCATGATTTGTGCAATGACCTCTCTGAGCCAATTGATCATTACATAGCAACAACACCTAATATATTATTTTAGTTTCTTCATCATTGTTCCCAGATTTCATCTCACCCTGGACTGGGATTTCCCCAATGCACCTGAACTCTTGGAGCCTAAGAAAGATACTGTTTTCATCTTATTTCCCATATCCTCCTGCTTTTTAGTTTCCTCTAATCAACACGAACTTGTCTGACCTTGATTTCAATGGGCTTTCTTGATCTAGAAGGGAGGAGATAATATTCACATGTTAAAAATATCCTGGGCTATAGAAGGGGAACTGAACAATGCCACCCAGTGGGATAATTCAGTGTTTTACAGAGTGGTAAAAGTGGTAGGGCACTGAGTTTTTCTGAATAACACTGTCAGTCTATTAAATGACAGGAGGTAGGATCAAACATTAATCAGATATGAATGGTGGAGGAAGTCTAGGTGAGGCTACTTAGGTTGTCTGGGACAGCCCTGAAGAGCTTGCAGATATACATCCAGTTTCATCTTCCACCCATATGACATTTTCTGCTTCTAATCCATGGACTTTTTCATAGTGAATATATATTTTTAATGGGAGGCAAAATGGTAGATTTCACTAAGACATTTCACTCCTCCAAAATGTATGTGTTTGAATTTCTTTCTAACAAGCACTGTGGACCCATAGTCACTAGTGTTTGCTCAAACAGAAGGAAGCATACCCTGGGAGGCAGACTCAATGGTTCCTCTCATTCAGGTGAGATACCTGGGTTGAGTTCCCGGCTCCCAGCTTTAGCCTCATGGTCACTGTAGGCATTTGGGGAGTGATGCAGTGGATGTGAACTCACTTTCTCTGTCTCTCACTCTCCCTCTCCCTCTTTTTCTCTTCTTTCTCTATCTTTTTTTCTCTATGGATCTTAGCTCTTAGACAAAAAAGCCAACTACTATATCTTAAATAGAAACATTAAATATGAAAAATTATTGTTAAATGTAAATGTTAGGATTTGTGTGCTGTATATTTGATTACTGCTAAATTAAAAAGTATTGTATTAAAAATAAAATATTTGAAATTACTTCAGATGATATACATAAAAATTTATGTTCTGTTTACATCTCGGGCTTTCAGCAGATGGTGGCTGAGTAAGATGCTTGGGTCATCTCTGCACAGAGGGATCAATTTTAATATCTATTCACACACAAAGTCCCCTTTACTAGAGCTGCAGAAGTCAAATTAGAGACTTTTGTGTCTGATTTTAGTATAAAAATAAAAAAAACATTGATAAAAAAGAATGAAAGAGTTGCCTAAGTCATCCCTCTCCTACCTCTCCATCCAGGTAACACAGTATGGAAAGAAACACCTTGCCTCTCACTTGGGAGAAGGGGAATGAATTGAGTCCATACCTTAGACTTGGAATCCAGTACTAGGTTTGCCATAATAAAAAACTTGTGCCAAACAGAATCTCATAGTCCTTATCCCAGGCTTGAACCTGCAGATTGAGATTTTGTACTCTCCTTAGCCTGGTAGCCAAGGAACTACCTCTCTTCCCCCAATCTCTGGAAGACAGTTGAGCAATGCTCCAACTTCTGGGGAGGACAGGAAAGGGAATTTAGAAACGTGTCATGGAGCCCAGAGTCTGGACGTAGCTCTGAAACTCAGCACCTTGTAAAGCCCAAAGGCATCTACTTCCAATTCAGTACTTGCAAATTTAGTCTTTAGAGTTGTCCAGCATCAGAGATACACATACTGGTGAAACTGACCTTTTTCAATGTGTATTGCTTCCAGCCTCGCATGGACCTCAAATGCATCCCCCAAGACTGTACAGGGCCTACTGATGATGAGACGTAGCTTGATCCAACTTAGTACCAGCATGGGTGGCCAAGGAGCTACCTTTATAATCCCTCCAACAACATTAAGCAAAAAACTGTGGTATTCTGCATTGGGCTCAGTGCTACACTGGTAAAACCAAACATTGTACAGATCCTCACAGTTCCCATCTTCAGCCTAATACCAGCAAATAGAGCCTGTTGGACATCCTTTAGGGCCAAGCTTAGTTATATAGCTCCAATTGATTGCATTGATTAAATTCTAGCAATAATTATTTGCATCTAGTTGCAGTCAGTGATGCTTGCAGAATTAAGAAGTAAGGGGTATCCAAATTGAAGGAGGAAGTCAAATTTATCACTGTTTTTAGATGACTTTATATCATATATAGAAAAACCTCAAAGACTCCACCAAAAAGCTGTTAGACTAATAAACAAGTTCATCAAAGTTGTGAGATACAAAATCAATGTACAAAATTAGTAGTATTGTTACACACCAATAGTGAATCATCTGAAAAAGAATTCAAGAAAGCTACCCCATTTTCAAAAGTTACAAAAACAGAACCCCAGCAATAAATTTAGCTAAAGAGGTAAAAGATCTCTGTAGTGAAAGCTATGAATTAATTATGAAAGAAACTGAAGTGAACATAAAGAAATGGAAAGACATCCAATGTTCATGGATTGGAAAAATCAAAGTGATTTGCATATAAAATGCAATTTCTACCAAGTTCCCAATGACATTTTTTTCACAGAGCTAAGGAAAAAATATAAAAATGTGTATGACTCACAAAAGATCCCAAATAGTTAAACAATCCTGAGAAAAAAATTAAGCAAGAGAAATTACAGTGTTTGACATTAAAATATAGTACAAAGAAATAATAATTAAATGGCATGATATTGGCACAAAAACAGATTCATAAACCAGTGGAACACAATAGAGATTCTGGAAGTAAACCCACATGTCTACAATCCACTGATCTAAGGATACACAATGGATAAAAGGCGAGTCTTTTTAATAGATGGTGCTGGGAAGATTATACATCTATATACAGAAGATTGAAGCTAGGCCTCTCTGTCTCAATATGTACAAAATCAAGCAAAAAATGGATTAAAGACCTAAATCTGAGATCCAAAATCTTGGAACTGTTTGAGAAAAACATTGAGAAAGCCCTTCAGGACACTGGAATGGGCAAGAATTTCCTAGATCAGATGCCAAAAGTGCAGGATATAAAAGCAAAAATAGACAAATGAGATTTCATCAAACTAAACAGTTTTGCACATCAAAGAAAACAACCAATATAGTGAAGATATAACCTAGAAAATATGCAAGCTACAGATTGAATAAAGGGTTGACATCAAAAATATATAAAAACTCAAATATCTCAACAGCAAAAAACATAACACATACACACACAAAACAACAACATCCAATTAAAAATGGATAGTAGATCTAAATAGACATTTAACAAAGGGAGACATACAAATGGTCAACAGGTACATGCACAAATTCTCAACATCACTAATCACCAGGGAAACGCAAATCAAAACCACAAGGAAGCATCACTTCAGTAAGATTGGCTATTATCTAAAAGATAGTAAGTGTTGGTGAGGATTTGCAAGGAAGAAAATCCTTGCACACTGTTAATGAGAATGTAAATTATTATAGCCATTGTGGAAAATACTATGGAGGTTCCTCAAGAAACTAAAAATAGATCTACCATGTGGTGCAGAAATCCCATTGCAAGGCATATAATCAAGGGAAATGAAATTTATATGTCAAACAGACATCTGTACTCTCATGTTTATTGCAGAACTATTTATAATAGGCATGAAATGGAAGTAATCTTAGTTTCCATTTACTAAGGAGTGGATAAAGAAAATATGTAATGCATACAATGGAATATTACTCAGCCATAAAATGATGAAATCTTAATTTGCAATAACTTGGATAGAACTGGAGGTCATTATGTTAATCAAAATAAGCCAAGCACAGAAAGACAAATATCACATGATCTCACTCATACATGAAATCTAGAAATATATGATCTCATAGAAGTTAAATATGCAGTGGTGGTTACCAGAGGTCGGGGATCAAAGTAGGCGGAGAGGTACAGGTTGTGGCAGGATCTTTGGGCAATCACTGGGTCTGGTTACAGAAGCTCAGACTTCTCTAAGTGCTGGGGAGGATCAAAGCAGAGGAGTAGGCACCCACAGTGAGGAGTGCATAGATCCTTTCTGTGGTTTGTGAACTTGAGTGGGATGAATGGGCATGCACTGTGGGCTCACCCTGTGCTGTTGGTTCACCCTGGAAAACGGACTCGTGCAAACAAATGCTCCCCACAGCTGACATCAGAGGAGGTCTACCATACCCAATTTGGCTGTCACTCTGCACTCTTGCCCCGCACTCAAGCATGGGTAGAACTCCCTGCACACAATTCTGAATATCAGTACACAATTCTGAATATATGCTGATGCAGCAAGTACTTCACTGAGCCATAGAGGCACATTTTCAACAACAAAATCCTCAGAAGAGAAAACCAACAACTATTTCCACAAATGGCTAAAAATAAATGTAGAAATACAAGAAACATGAACAGGAAGACAATATGACTCCCCAAAAGGAACACAACAACAACAACAACACTTCAATATTAGAATGTGAAGATGAAGAGATTGATGAAATGCCTGAAAAGGACTTCAAGGGAATGATCTTTGATTACTCAAAAGCACAGAGAAGCAGGAATCCAAGATGGCTGAATAGAGAAAAGCATGCTGATGTGATCACAGGAAAAGAAGAGAAGCAGAGTACCTATTCTCTGGGGAGAATTGGAGAGAAGTCTGCAGTGGAAATTACACAGAAGGAAGAGGGACGCTGAGGAGCAGTGTGGACAGTACAAACAGCAGTGAGCAGAGATACTGTGACTCATGCAGCCAGGGGCTGGAGCAGATACCATTTTCTTGGAGTGAGATGAGAAGAGACTGTCGCAGACCCTGTTACTGATGATATTACCTCATGCACCACACTGACTTTGAGTCCATTCTGGAGCACTAGCAGGGAGCAGGGGACACACATAACCTTAAAAAATCTAAGTAGAGCCTACAGTGGCTCATGCATATGTATGACTAGGAGATTTTATTGGGGGGATAAATCTACTGTCCCCACTGACTTTGAGTCTGACCTGGAGGGTTAGCAGGTGGCGGAGTGCCCAGTTAAACCTATGAGCTGCTCCTCTTCCCCCACTCTATCACAGATGCCTGGACTCAAACTACCATGGAGGAGCACTGACTGGCAGCTAGCTCTGGAAGTGCCTCCGCTCTCTCCATGGGCAGGGCAGGATTGTGGGGCTGAAACTGGATCCTTGCTCCTGGTAATTGTGGGAACCTCGAATGCTATGACTGTGGGAATCTGTGACTATGGAGCTGTAAAAGTTCCTTATATATTCTTTAGATCAGCCTCTATAAGAAACATAATTTGCAAATATTCCCTCCAATTCAATAGATTGTCTTTTCAATCTATTTCCTTTGCCTTGAAGCATTTAATTTGATATTGTCCCATTTATTTTTCTATTCAAAAATATTTTAAAGTTTTATATGTATGCTCATAAACCAATATACTCCTGATTCATTTGTTCTCTCTCTCTTTTTTTTAAAGATTTATTTATTTTACTTGAAAGTTACACAGAGAGAGAAGGAGAGGCAAAGAGAGAGAGAGAGAGAGAGAGAGAGAGAGAGAGAGAGAGAAGTCTTCCATCTGCTGGTTCACCCCCCAGATGGCCGCAATGGCCGGAGATGTGCCGATCCGAAGCCAGGAACCAGGAGCTTCTTCCAGGTCTCCCACGTGGGTGCAGGGACCCAAGCACTTGGGCCATTTCTACTGCTTTCCCAGGCCACAGCAGAGCTGGATCATAAGTGGAACAGCTGGGACTCGAACCGGTGCCCATATGGGATGCTGGCTCTGTAGGTGGCAGCTTTACCTGCTATGCCACAGTGCCAGCCCCCCACTTGTTTTCTTAATCACAACGTTTAGGGCCAGTGCTGTGGGGTAGCATGTAAAGCCTTAGATGCTGGAATTACATATGGGTGCTGGTTCATGTCCTGGCTGCTCCACTGCTAATGTGCCTGGAAAAGCAATGGAGGATGGCCCAAGTGTTTAGGCCCTTGCATCCATGTGGGAGACCTGGAAGAAGCTCCTGGCTCTTGGCTGTTGCTGCCATTTGAGGAGTTAACCAGTGGATAGAAAATCTCCCTCTTTCTGTCATTCGTCTCTCTCTGTAACTCTGCCTTTCAAAAATAAATAAATATTATGTAAGTTTAATTAAAAAATCACAGTTTGATTCACAAATTTAAAAGCATTTAGATTTCAATTATACACTAGCTTTCTTGAATTTGCATCATTGCCTGGGACTTTGGTATCATATCTAACGAGAGCTTGCCAATACCAATGTCATAAAGCTTTTCCTTTGTGCTTTCTCTTAGGTGTTTTACAGAGTAAGACCTTGCATTGAAGTCTTTAAATACTCCACGTTGATTTTTGCTTATTGTGCAAGATACAGTTCCAGTTCTTCTGTTTTTGCATATGTGGTTTCCCAGACGCTATTTGTTGAAGACTCTCCTTTCCCCATTGTGTATTCTCAGCATCCTTATCAAAGATTGGTTAACAACACATGTGTGGATTTAATTCATGGCTCGCCATTCTGTTCCACTGGTCCATATGTCTGTCACATACTGTTTCATGCTGGTATCATACTGTTTTCATTACTGAAGCTTTATAGTATACTACAAAGTTGGAAATGTCTTTAGCTTTATTAAGTCTCAATATTGACTTGGATATTTTTGATCTTCTGGGGTTCCAGTTGATTTTTAGAATTGTGTTTTCTATTTCTCTGAAACAATGACTCTTAGATTTTGATTAATATTGCATTGAGTCTGTAAATTATTTTGTAAAGTGTGGACTTTTAAAAAATAATACTAACTCTTCCAATGCATGAGCCCAGTATGTCTAATATTTGTGTTTTGTTTTATTTCTTTTATCAATGTTTTATAGTCTTCAGCATATACATCTTTCAACTCATGAGTTAAATATATTTCTGGTTATTTTGTAGTTTTTGGTAGTATTTTAATTCCAACCTTTCTTTATTCATAGTTCATGATTAGAGTATATAAACACATCTAGTTCTTATATTGATTTTGTGTTCTGTGAGTTTACAGAATTCTTTTATTAGTTGTGGCAATTTTTATGATATAATTAGGGTTTTCTACACATAAATATTTTTGTTTGCATGCAGAGAAAATTTTGTTTCTTCATGTCTGATCTGGGTGCCTTTCATTTATTTTTCTTCTCTAATTGTTCTGGCCAGAATTTCTAACACAGCGTCAAACAGAGTGAAAGTGAGTTCCTAATCTACAAGTACAAACTTCTGACTTTTGCTATTGAGTATGATTAAGATGTGGAATTTTCATATGTGACTTCATTATGTTAAAGTAACTTCCTTTGATTCCTAGTATGTTGGGAGTTTATTCGTGAAAAGTGTTGAATTTTTCATTTTCTGAATTTCTGGAGAGATTGCTATGATTTTAATTCTGTATTCTACTAACATGGTATATCACATTAATTCATTTTTGTATGACGAAGCATCTTTACTTCGTGGTAGTTAATTGCAGTAGATCATGGAGTATGATCTTTTTAATGTGCTGTTGGATTCTATTTGTCAGTATTTAGTTTGAGGATTGCTGCATGTATACTCATCTGAGATATTGATCTGTAATTTCACCTTTATTTTATTGTGCATATAAACAGAACAAATTACATGTAATTCACATATTTAGTTTTAAGAGCACAATGATACTACCTACCATACCTTATCTCCCTCACTCACTCTATTACTCCCTCCTCTTTTCTTTCTGATTTTTCTTTCAATTTTTACGACATACTTTCAATTTATTTTATAATAACAAACTTAACCCTCCAATAAATAAAGAATTCAACAAATAGTAAGTACAAAAACTGTTGTTTCTAACTTACTGTATTTATTCAAAATGCAGAGGGTGGGGGAAGGAGGGAGAGAGAGAGAGAGAGAGAGAAAGAGAGAGAGAGAGAGAATGAATCTTCCATTGTCTGGTTCCCTCCCCAAATGTCCACAACAGCTGAGAGCTGAGGCTGGGCCAAGTTGAAGCCAGGACAGCCCAAACTGAAGTGAGGAGCTAGGAACTTCATCTGAGCTGGGCTTCCAGGTGGGTCCCAGGCACCCAAGTATTTGAATCCAAACCTGCTGCTTCCAAGGTGTGCGTTGGTAAGAAGCTGATTGTAAGCCAAAGAGGGACTTGAAAACAGACACTTTGATTGAGATTCAGGTATCCTAAGCAGCTGCTTACTCACTGCACCTCAACACCCAGCCCTCATTTACTTTCATTGTAGTGTCTTTGTTGATGTTTCCTATTGTTTTTATTTTCTATTTCATTTATATCTCCTCTTGTCTTTATTGTTTCTTCTACCAATTTGGGGTTTACTTTGTTCTTTTTTCTAGTTCTTTGATGGTAAAGTTAGATTAGGTTGATTTAAATTTTCTTTTCAGCCAAGACACTGTGGCAAAAAAAAAAAGCCTACATGAGTGAGATCCCAGTAGAAAGAACAGGTCATCAAAGAGGGAGGTACCTTTCTCTGAAACGAGGAGAGAACTTCCACTTGGACTATGACCCTGTCAGAATAAGATCAAAGTCAGCAAACTCAAAAGGCTTCCATAGCCTTGGCAACTCATGACAAGAGCCTAGGGTGATTAATGACACCATAAACAAGAGTGTCAATTGTTAAATCAACAACAGGAGTCACTGTGCACTTACTCCCCATGTAGGATCTCTGTCCTTAGTATGTTGTCTAATGTGAAGTAATGTTATAACTAGTACTCAAACAGTATTTTTCACTTTGTGTTTCTGTGTGGGTGCAAACTGTTGAAATCTTTACTTAATATATACTAAACTGAACTTCTGTATATAAAGATAATTGAAAATGAATCTTGATGTGAATGGGATGGGAGAGGGAGCGGGAAAGGGGAGGGTTGTGGGTGGGAGGGAAGTTATGGGGGGAAAAAGCCACTGTAATCCAAAAGCTGTACTTTGGAAATTTATATTTATTAAATAAAAGTTAAAAAATAAATTTTCTTTTCAAAGTAGATGTTTATTGCTGTAAAAGTACATCTTAGTATTACCTTTCTTCTATCCTATGTTTTGATGCACTGTGTTTTCCTCCTTATTCACTCTCCTACCTACTTCTTAGAAAGAAATGAACATAGATTTTTAAATTCAAATAAAGTACTTTCATATATCCCTTTTACTAGAACTACCTATCTTCTGAAGGACTACAGTATTAATGTTCATATTTTCTCTTCATTGCCTATTTTATTTTTGTTTTCTCATCCATGATACCATTTCTTTCAAAGTGATGAAAGCACTGAGCAGAACTCAGAATACACTTTTGTTCATATCTATTAGAGAGGAAATACGGAGCATAAAAGGTGGGCTATAGGGTCATATAGGGTCATATAGCGTCCTCCAGGTTCCTTGACTCATGAAGTTCTGATGCTCGGGAAAACATCTAGTCCAGAATAGAAATACAAACTGTGGGTTATACTTTTGTATTATAGATTTAGGAGGAAGGAGGAGAGTGATGAGGCTATTGGAAGTTTCCTCAAACTATTGTAACATAATTGGCACATCGATGTCATTGCAAAAGTCAAAACCACTACAGCAAGTTGTCACCACTGTTTGAAAATCAGAAATATCCTCCTTGCTTTGACAGTCTTTCACACACTTGCTCTCTGCACTCTGCAGTTTGTTTTCTGTGAAAGACAAAAATAGAAACAAAATGTTATTTAAGAAATGGACAAACAGTTTGAACAAGCATTCCTTAAAATGAGAAACACAAATGGCAAAAAAGTACGGAAAAAATGCTCAATATCATTAACCATCAGAGAAATGTAAATTAAAAGCACAGTGAGCTACTGCTTCACCCTAGTTATGACTATTATTAAAAATCAACAAATGCTGGCAAGAATCTGAAGAAAGATAACCTTATACATTGTTGATGGGAATGCAAATTAGTATAGCCATTATGGAGTACAATATAGAGGTTTTCCCAAAAAACTATTTGTCATGTAATCTAGGTATCTGACTTCTGGGATGTATTTGAAGGAAATGAAACCAGAATATCAAAGAAATGCATGTACTCTTGCGTTCATTGCAGCACTATTCGCAAAACCCAAAAGTACACCAATGGATGAAAGGATAAAGAAAAGTGGGATATATACACAATGGAGTGTTATTCAGTCACACTAAAGACAAAGTCAGATATCTGCAGCAAAATTGGATGGAACTGGTGGTCATCAGGTTAAGTGAAATAAGACACATAGAGGCAAATAACACGTTTTCCCTCATATGTGGGACTTAGAATAGTGGAAAGAAGGAGGGGAAGGAATATTGGATAATGAGTATCACCAAAAATACCCACTTGGATAGAAGTAATAAATTCCAGTATTCCACAGCACAATGGAGTCAATATAGCTAATAATAATGTATTATATACTGTACAAGAATCTGGAAGAGAAGAACTGGTAGGCTGCAAACAGAGAAAGGATAAGGAAACAGAAATGTTAATTGCTAGATTTGATCCCTTTACTCAATATACGAGCTGAACTCTTGTACTGTACTTCATTAAAATGCACAAGTAGTACATGTTAATAAAAAATTTTAAAATAAATAAAAATTTCATTTTGATAGCCAGGATGCAAGGCCCTGTTAAATCAGGAATGCTAAATCAGGATTCAACGGAGGATGAGACTTGTACAGGCACTCCAATATGGAATGCTGGAGTTGCAGGCAGTGGCTTAACCCACTGTGCCATATCAGCCCCAGCTTATTTCTTCTATAGCAGCCAAAGGTACACCAGTGGCAATCCTACCATGGGCTTTTAAGCCACATTTAGTAAGTCTCATTCTGCCTGAAGTCTCTACTGAAGGGACCTGTATACTTGATATTGAGGTCAGGATTATAGGTGTTGAGTTCAAAATGGCACTTCCTCAGCCAGACAGGCACAAAGCACTTGTTGAAAATCTGGTGCATGCCAAGTTATGTGACAAGAACCAGGGTGGAATAGTGAGCAACATCAATTCTTTCTTTCAAGGACAAGATGTAAGAAATGGCAAGAAATTGGAATACCCTGTTGTAAGTGTTATGAGATGGACATAGCCAGGACTTGGTGGTAACAGACAGGAGGATCATGTGGATAAGGGTCAAAGAATGTTTCCAGAGAAGGGGACTCTAAACTAGGCAGAATTTGGACTGATAATAGGCCACCAGAGCAGAGGACACAAGGTAGAGTGTGAAATGTTTTAAAGACCCCTTGGAGTCTTGGACCCTGAGGTTGAGCCTTGGGAGACTCAGGAAGGGCTCAGTGCACTGGTGTTTAACAGCCCTAGCATACCACATTCTCTCCTTAATATTTTGAATCAACAATCAAGGTAATCCCACCACAGGACTCAGAAACTCACTTCTCAGTCTCAACAAACTCATTTCACGCAGGCAATATGTCTTACGTGAAGGTGATTTTGAGCCCTCATGGAAAAGTAATCGTTCTACACCAGAACACTAAAAACACTTACCACCATCAGAAGAAAAGACTCTGCGGATCATACAAGATTCACCATCACTAGGAAAGCAAGTTTCCATCCTATGATGACAATTCATATTTGTGTATCCACGACATTGTCTACACCGGAGTGCTAAGGCTGCCAAAAAAATTATGTTGACAGAGAAAGGAGCTACTACTGTCACTTACTAAAAGGAATAGAATCTGATCACACCAATGATTTACCCTCAGGGATATGCTCCAGGCAATAATATGTTTTAATACCACACACTTAGCTGGAGGCACTGGGAGGTGGTCTAATTCTCTCCATACATTTGACAAGGGAATAATGACCAGCAGGCAGGGAGACTGACCACTCTTTACAGAGCCATGTTGCTCATGGCATTTGGATTTAATTTTTCAATTTACCACAGTGATTATTACGAAGACTGCAGGTTAGTTCCTGGGTTATCAGAGCCTGGCCTGAGGCTCCAGGGGCAAGATCAGGATGGACAGTTCTTAGGCTGGCCAAGAGCACCTGCTTTCTCACTCCACATACAAGTCATAATTTAGGGAGTGTATAAAGCTTAGAGGTCAGAGGACAAGGATGAGTGAAGGATTCAGGTGACTGAGGTAAATGAAACTGGATGGCCAGGGCTACAGCCTCTCCATTTGTGAAACCAAAACTTTTCCTCAGAAGTTGGTTGGCGCTCACAGAACCCAGGTACTAAAAGCCAGGGATAGGACTGGACTGAATTTAGCCATCATCAAGCTGCCTCCCAAGGATTTACCAATTTCTATGCACAGCAGAGAGAGACCCAGCTTCAGGAGGGTTTCCATTCTGTTTCAGCTGATTCTGTAGCAGATTCTGTTAGAGAACAGGTAGCACTTGAGACTTTCGGCAATGGAGCTGCACCTGCTGAGGTCAGCCCTCAAATCACTTTATAACACATTATTCCAAAGATAATGGCCAATAGGTACAGAACAGGCCAAAAGCACATCCAAATCTAAGCACGTACAGTAGTGGCAATAGTCCAGATCCCTCTTCCATGACCAAGTGCTTCTCTCTTTTCTTCCCCAGACTTCACTGTTCTAGCTTGCCTCAAACTACAGATTAACCAAGAGATAATCTCATCAATAGCAATTTTCATGTATAGCACATTAAGTGCCTTCCTGTTAGGGCCAGCCTATAATGGGGGTTGTAGAACAGACAAGTAACAAATATTACTTACCCCAAATCAAATAACTAGAGAGCAAGATGATCTTAAGGAAAACAGTGGGCTATTGCATATCCAAGATGTATATGCCAGACACTTCAGGCAGAGCCATGAGGATCCTTCCTTCTCAGAATACTGGAGATAGGCTGGGTCTTGAAGACGGTCAAGATTAAAGAATGGAGCATAGTGTGTGTTAATGAGTCACAGTGCACTGTAAACCAAGCAGTTCTAGCCAGTATGCCAGCTGGGATATATTATGATCCTTGGAGCCCACAGAATCAGTTGCCTTTCAATTCATGCCCCTTGAAACATAAACCTGCAGCACATATTGTTGTTTCTATAAACATAAATTCTTGTTCCTGCTGCCCACCACTCTCTGATTCTTGTTGAGACTTGAGGATTTATCTTTTCCCCAGCCCGTTTCTAAAGTGTCTAGGATAATGTGAGCCAGGAATAAGTAAAAGATTTTATATATCAGCACTGTACTCCTGTCACTGGGATTATTGACAGCCTCTGGTTTCTTCATTAACCTCTGTAACCCTACATTTGCACTCTAACACCAACACTGATCACCTATCGGAGCACAGCTGTATACTCTAACACATAGGTCATCCCCAGAAGACCTCAGGACACACCTTTCTCAATCTTCATCAACCACTCTCGAAGTTGAACCCTTTCCTGAGGTCAAGACGCTCTTTGCACTTGCAGGACTGGGATAGAACTGAGCATAGGAACATCTCTCAGGCAAGTGCTTCTGAGAGTAGTTACATTCCAACTGGAAAAGTTCCTTTTCCATGAGGTGTCTATGGCCAAGTTCCCGAGATACAGCTCAGCCAAATATCGGGACTTTGAATTCCAAAGTGATGGGGTAGAGAAAGGGGTTCAACTATCCTAAGCATCTTCTGAGGTAGCCAATTCAGCACACTCAATGCTGTGGTTAAACTCCTCTGTTCACAGAGTAGGAAAGATGACAACAGGAGAGATTTGATTATTTTTTTTAACTTTTATTTAATGAATATAAATTTCCAAAGTACGACTTATGGATTACAATGGCTTCCCCCACATACCGTCCCTCCCACCCACAACCCTCCCCTTTCCCACTCCCTTTCCCCTTCCATTCACATCAAGATTCATTTTCGATTATCTTAATATACAGAAGATCAGCTTAGTATACATTAAGTAAGGATTTCAACAGTTTGCTCTCACACAGAAACGTAAAGTGAAAAATAATAGATGATTTTTTAAATGATGATGAAATCAGATCAGACCTATTGTCATGTTTAATCCCAGTGAAAGTCAAGTTGGGAATTGATAATTTCTTTTTTTTTTTTTTACAGAAGATCAGTTTAGTATGCATTAAGTAAAGATTTCAACAGTTTGCACCACCATAGAAACACAAAGTGAAATATATTGTTTGAGTACTCGTTATAGCATTAAATCTCAATGCACAGCACATTAAGGACAGAGATCCTACATGAGGAGTAAGTGCACAGTGACTCCTGTTGTTGACTTTACCAATTGACACTCCTGTCTATGGCATCAGTAGTCTCCCTATGCTCCAGTCATGAGTTTCCAAGGCTATGGAAGCCCTCTGACTTCTCCGACTCTTATCTTGTTTAGACAAGGTCATAGTCAAAGTGGAGGTTCTCTCCTCCCTTCAGAGAAAGGTACCTTCTTCTTTGAAGACCTGTTCTTTCCACTGGGATCTCACTCACAGAGATCTTTTGCCAGAGTGTCTTGGCTTTCCATGCCTGAAATACTCTCATGGGCTTTTCAGCCAGATCCGAATGCCTTTAGGGCTGATTCTGAGGCCAGAGTGCTATTTAGGACATCCACCATTCTATGAGTCTGCTGAGTATCTCACTTCCCATGTTGGATCACTCTCCCCTTTATTTATTCTATCGGTTAGTGTTAGCAGGTACTAGACTTGTTTATGTGCTTCCTTTGACTCTTAGTCCTTTCATTATGATCAATTGTGAACTGAAATTGATCACTTGGACTGGTGAGATGGCATTGGTACATGCCACCTTGATGGGATTGAAGAGAGATTTGATTATTATGAGAGTGAATGCTCAACAATTGTTGGATGACATGAATGTGCCACACCAACTAATAAACTGGCTGACATTTCCACGCACAAAATTGCTCGATCTCCAGATTTTCTTTCCTACACTTTATCTTTTTTAGAGAGAGACAGACAGAAAGGTCTTCCTTGTCCATTGGTTCACCCCACAGTGGCTGCTGCGGCTGGTGAGCTGCGGCCAGCACACAGCGCTGATCCGAAGCCAGGAGCCAGGTGCTTCTCCTGGTCTCCCATGCGGGTGCAGGGCCCAATGACCTGGGCCATCCTCCACTGCACTACCAGGCCACAGCAGAGAGCTGGCCTGCAAGAGGAGCAACTGGGACAGAATCCGGCGCCCCGACCGGAACTAGAACCCGGTGTGCCAGCGCCCCAGTTGGAGGATTAGCCTAGTGAGCCGTGGCCTCTTTCCTACACTTTAGAAAGTGAAAGCAGTACATATGTCTTTCAGATATCTCCCATCGGGCATTTGTAGAAGTATTTACAATTTTGGAAGTAGTTATTTCAGCAGTAGGAAGAGCTATGGAGCCTGAAACTAAACATCAATAGAGAGAATACCTGTGAAATCTGAGTCAATTTTGATGAGATTTCTTTTGTGGTGAAAGTTGTGGCTGATTTCTATGAAGAATTTTTAGACAAAGTAGACTATTCCCTTTATGAAGATCACACATTCCAGTAAACATCTTATCCTTTGACTTAGAATCTATCCTTTTGTTTGCTTTTGATGATTGATCAAAATCTTTTGGTAAACATACCACCAAATTCACAAATTGTTTTTTTAATTTATTTTTTATTTATTTGAAAGGCAGAGTTACAGAGTGAGAAAGAAAGAGAGAGAGAATATTTTTCTTATAAAGTTTAAGAATTATTTATTTTATTTCAAAGTCAGATTTACAGAGAGAGAAAGAGGCCTTCCATCTGCTGGTTCACTCCCCAGACAACCACAACAGCCGGAGCTGCGCCAATCCGAAGCCAGGAGCCAGGAGCTTCTTCTGGGTCTCCCACATGGGTGCAGGGGCCCAAGGACCTGGGCCATCTTCTACTGCTTTCCCAAGCCATAGCAGAGAACTAGATCAGAATTGGAGTAGCCGGGACTTGAACTGGTGCCCATATAGGATGCCGGCACTGCAGACGGCAGCTTTATCCACTACGCCACAGTGCCAGCCCTGAGAGAGAATCTTCCATCCACTGGTTCACTCCCTAAATGGCCACAACAGCTGGGGCTTGGCCCATCTGAAGCCAGTAGCCAGGAGCTTCTTCAGGTCTCCCATGGGAGTGCAGGGGGCCAAGCATTTGGGCCATCTTCTGCTGCTTTCCCAAGCACATTAGCAGGGAGCTGGATCGGAAGTAGAGCAGCCGGGTCTCAAACCAGCACCCGTATTGGGTGTCAGCACCACAGGCAGAGACTTAACCTGTTATGCCACAATGCCAACCCCAAATCGCTTTCTTAAACATGTCTTTCAGGCTAAAACTTCATTTCCTACAGTTAACAGGTGCATTCAGACTTATAGTTCTCAATTTATACAACAAAGAGAATAAAGAGTTGCTCTTCTATGTTTGACATGTCTTACCTTTCCGATATTAAGACAAGGCCTATAGAAAATATTTTCTCAACTGCAATCCCACTCCTACTTTTCAGTTTTTCTAAGAAAAAAATATTTTCCATGTACCTCTATAAAATTTTTCTGCATCATGGACTCTTCTGATAGAATAATCATATTTAATACTGATAGCACTAATCCTTTTGTGTCACATTATCATTTTATTTAAATATAAACAGTATTATTTGTTGTATGCAAATTTTGGTGGACATATGTTATTTTTTCCACCCATCACCCTCTTATCAACTTCGCATTTTGTATTGTAGCTGTCCATCAACA